GGCCCAGGCTGGGGATTCGAACCCGCCACCTTAGGTGTATGTGGCTAGCGCCTTAGCTGCTTGAGCCACAGGCGCCGAGCCAGGTTATTGTCCTTCTTCCAAGTCCTCAGCAGTTTCCCACTGGCCTCAGAAAAAGGACCACTGAAATAATGGGGTCCTCAGGCCTTGTAACTTTAGCCTCCAACACTCTGTCTCACTTGTATTACTTCTTTTTTCTCCTGAAATGTGTCAGGCTCTCCACTCCCTCAGGAATGTGACGCACATGGTAGCCACTCTCACTAATTCTCTCCAAATATATTCTGCCCAACCTTCTGTCTAGCTAAATCCTGCTAATCCTTATGATCTCAGCTGAAATAAACCACCTTTCTCAAAGATCTTCTCCTTCTCCACAAAAAGTCTCACAGCTGTACAGTCTCACAACACCTTCCTGTGATTCATTCAAAAGGTGCCTTCAGACCCACATCAGCAGCCTAATGGGGACATACTCTAGATCACACTCTGAACACATACACATGCCTGACCCAGCAAGCCCAAGATTAGCCAGGGATTAGCTGCTAGCCATGTGGGGGTCAATACCTCCTTCAAGAACGCAGAAGCCTAGGCTAGGCTGAAAAACACATGCAAGAAACATAAAACACTATCATTTCCTATTACTTTAAATGCCTGCTAATAAAACCTTATATGTTATATACTTGTTTATACAGTGGTGAGAAAATTAATCATACATTGTGTTTTGTTTCATGAAATACTTCAGAAATAAAACGATTTCCTCTGAAAGTAGTAAAGTGAAGAGAGTATTCTTCTCTAAAACACATGTGTATGCTTGAAACATTTACAGCTTTTCACTCTAGAATTTTCTCTTCCATTTCTCAGTTGTCCTAAAACTTTTCAGTAGCTAAAACTCAACTGAAAAGTGCTCTGGAGTCCTATGCAAAGTTAGCTATGATAACACTTTAACTCTGGGAACCTAAGAAAATTTCCTTTTGAATACAACAAGTCAAACACATACTGTAACTGAAATATCACTTTTCTTAAAATAGCTCACCTTAAAGAACTTTGGATGCCTTCAGTGGGAGACACTTCCCGTAGGTAACAAATTGTCCTAAAAAACAAGAGGTATCGGCTTCAGATCCTCTGCACTAAGCAGAGCAGCAGGCAATTTCTGCTGCTGGTTTCTTCAAACTTCTCCAGCCTAGCTGGCCATGGGGAAACATTTTATAGCCCAAGGTTGACACAATTAAACCTCCCACCCTAATAGCATCTGGGAGTTTATCTTTTTCATAGGCTGCTTCAAACTCCTCCAGGTTAGGTGGCAAGGCAGAAGCCTCTAGTTGCCTGAGATTGACTCAATTAAAGCTCCCTCCCTAACAGCAGCTGGGAGTTTATCTTTTCATAGAGTAAGACAGAGCAAGAGCACAGCAGAAGGGAAACACCCATCTGATAAAAACTACAGAGAAAGCAAAGCCAGGAGAGTAAATTTAAATATGGGGGCAGACTCTACCAGGGTCAGGGCAAACAGAGGCTGCTCTACTGGAGAAAGGCATGGTGGGAGGATGCCTGCTCCAACTTGTTCTACCTGATTCATAAGAACAACTCTGGGGGCAGGGTGCAGACACACCCCAAAGACTTCAAGTTACTAAGCAATTTTGTGGAAATCTGCTTTTCACAGTAGAAAATCGTAAGCACTACCACCACCACCATCCGTATAAAAGCTGTCCCTGAAGGACTAGGATATGGGTGGAGGACTCTGAAATTCTCCTAAGCGCACTCTTAGTTTTTGAATATAAATTGGGAAAGTCAGTTCACTCTATTGTCTTAATGTAGAATTATATCTGCCTTACAAATTTCCTGTGATTATTACATGATACTATTGGGGGGGAACTATAAATATTTATGAATAAATGACACAGTTACAAATACTTTGGAACCAGGTTTTCAAGAGGCTGCAACCACCCAATGACTCCCCCTACTCCACAAAGACTGCAGATCCCAGTCATCTTAGCAACTCCCACTCCTAACTCCTCCTAGCATAATCCACAGAAAAACTTTACCCCACTCCGACAAGACCCCCAGAGCCTGTGGACTGTGAGCACTGCCCAATGAAGGCTGATGGAAACCTGGCCTCATAGACGCAGTAACATGAAAACTGCTGGGAGGACTTTGCTCAACTCCACCTAGTTACTAGGTCCAGAGGCCGTCCAAGTTCTAGATCAGTGCCTTCCCAACAGCGAGCATGCAAATGGACCACCTAGGGATTTTGTTAAAACAAAGACCCTAAAACAGCAGGGTAGAAACTAAGTCTGCACTCCCAAAATTCCTCTAGAATTGTGCCCTTCACCACTCCCGGTACAGGTTAGACGGGATTTACACTTGCCCTCAGGCAAATCCAATCAAGATAAACAGGGTGCGCCTTTAAGAGTGGTACCGCTAGTTAAGTTTATATGCAGACTAAATAGGGCAGTTTGAAAACCACCCAGCACATTTTCTTTTGTTCTGGACAACAGTCCAGGTAGGACCCCACTTCACCTACTTTAAATATCTTTGTGCTCCCGTGAGTCCAGAGGAGTACTTTCACTAGCAGCCCACCCCTCTTTCACCAAGCACAAATTTTAACCTCTAGCCGACAGCACAAACAGCCCAGTTGTCCCGAGTTTCTAAATTGCTCAGTTTGCCCCTAAACCAAAGTACACGGGAGCCGCGGTCTCGGGATCATACCCAGACTATTTCGTTCTAAGACTTACCACGGAGTTGAGCAGGGCAGATTTCTATTAAGTAGCAAGGCTTACAGCTCAAGGCCCTCAAATTCCACCCGAAGCTTAACAATGCAGAGCGCTCCGAGGAAACTCCAGGTGCATCTTTTTGTTCTTAACCTGAAACAGAAATTCAAGTGGCCAGGGGGCAAACACTTTCCGCGAGGCTGGAAAACCAGCGGCGCGGCTGTGCGTGTTTTGGCGGGAAGCACCGAAGAGATCGTGAGACAAACTGCGTGCCCGAGGCCTCCACCTGGCGAACGCACAGCCTCCGGACCGCCCCGACCGGCAGGAAGGTCGGCCCCGAGGCCTGCGCGGGCTCGGGCGGGAGCTTCCGGGCGGGGGCGGAGCCAACTACGGGGGGGGCGGGGGAGAGGGAAAGCTCCGCGGCCCGGCAAACAGGGAGTCCAAGGAAAGCTGGGGAGTGCCTCACCGCCGGGGGCAAGAAAAATAAGTTGCCCGGCGGTCCTCAAGAAACCAGAAGGCAAGGGGTGGAGGTGGGTGACTTCCCGGGTCAGCAGGGGTTGGGGATGACTGCCCCTAGGAGATCCCCGACCCCCCGCCTCACAGCAGAAAGCTGGAGGAAGGGCGGGTGAAAGGGAGTGGGGAGGAGGTAAGAGGAGTGCCGGGGTCCCAGTCCTTCACCCAGCAGGACAGGCAGAGTTGCCAGAGCGGGCTTCCAGCGCCGAGGGCTGGGTGTGTAGGCACAAAGCGGGAGGAGGGCCCGGGGGATCCAGGGCCTCTACGCTGCGGCTCACCACGCCGGGGACCGGCAGTCGGGACCCAGGAAGCGAGGGGTCCAAAGTCCGGGAAGCGGAGGCCGCGAGATCCGAGGCCGAGAGCCGGACGTGGGTCACGGGGTGCAGAAGAGGAAGTGCCACCACCGGGCCCGCCAAGATACCACCAATGGGAAACGCGTGCCTGCAGGTGCGGCCCGCGCGGTCCGCCAGGCAGGAAGTGGGGGAAGGATAGAAGAAAAGCGAGAGAGAAAGAAGACAGTTCTTAAGAGTTCTCCAGAAAGGAAGCCAGGGAGCGAGCTGGGTAAGTCCAGAATACCAGCTAGGAAGAAGGGGAAGGGAGGAGCGGCATCCCAGTGTGGATGAGAAACCACCAGACTAAATGGAGAACTAGTAAATATACAATACCTTCTTTCGTATATTTGACCACGGACTCGCCTAAAGTTTGTATAATCAAAATAACATTTTAACACAATTCCTAACACTTCAATCAATTCTATTTTACAGCATTTGAGTCTTGATTCAAGTGATCTAGACAATTATAAAGCTTTTCTAATGATGTGAGCAGTGACTAGTTTATATTAAAGAATTACACATTTTGCTGTTATGATTTTCTAAGTATTAAAAAACCTCTTATAGGCAAGTATTTGCACATGGCATCTGATTTCTTCCATCTGTTTCAAACTAGTATGAGTGGAGCGAGTGGGAATACAGATGAAAAGATGGACCATGGTTTAGTGGAGTTTCATTATACTTTTAACTCTACTTGTGTATGTTTGACATTTTTAATAGAATTATTTTTAAAACAAAAATATTCAGAACTTAATAGAGATAACTACCAAATTATACCACGTGTAAGAAAGAACATACTAAATGAGTATGGGAACTGTAGACCACAGGAAGCTCTACATTTTAGGACAAATGTACCAGGCCTTCTTCAGGATATCTCAACTAAAAAGAACTGACATACCATTTGTAAAAATAAATTTGAGGGCTTTATCAAGGATCCACAACACACACGATTGACATAAATTAGTAAACATTTATAAATAAATTACATTAGGGGTATTCGAACATTGACTTGGAGTGGCAGAACTGTGATTACCATTTTTTTGTTTTTGAGATACTTAGTCCCCCTTGGTAGGCGGCCTTGGCATCTTAGCTCACAACAACCTTCAACTCTTGGGCTCAATGGATCCTCTTGCCTCAGCCTCCCAAGTAAGTAGTTGCGACTATGGGCACCGCCATAACACTCAGCTAGTTTATTAGAGATGGGGTCACTCTTGCTCAGGATAGTCTCCCAAGCATGAGCCACAGAGCCTGGCTGTGTTGTGACTGTTTTAAAATTAAGTGTGATGGCTAGGATTTGTTTGGAAATTATCCACAAGAGAAGTAGTAAGTGGAGATGTACAGAAAAACTGACCATGACTAGTAACTGTTGAAGCCAGGTGACAAGTACATGGGAGTTCATTTTACTATATAGTATATGTGTTTAAAATAGCCCCCCCACAAAAAAATGCTACCAACAATACTTCCTTGCTTATTCTTACTATCAGAGAATGAAGACAGGAATGAAAAATCAATCATTCCAGCAGCGCCTGTGGCTTAAAGGAGTAGGGACGCCAGAGGTGGCCAGTTCAAGCCCTGGCCAAAAAAAAAAAAAAAAAACAAAAAACCAATCATTCCAATGAAAGTGAGAGACACATTAAAAAAATTCACATATTAAAGAGAAGAGAAACATTATTTTTAAGGAAAATCAGCCAGAAAATTGGTCCTCAAGTAGAGTACCCAATATGAAAACGGTCTTAAAACTGTTTCCTTAGCATTAACTTTTTTTTTTTTTTT